ATTTAACTAAACGTAAATACAAATATAAGAAGTGCACCATGGGTATCCTAGCCTAGCTGACATATTTTAGAATCTATTCTCCTTTGAAGTGATTAAAAGGACGGAATTTGAAATGATTCTCCATAAAGTATCTTGTCCTATTCACAAGGGAACCTATTTCCTCTGGTTAACAGTGCATGAGATTTCCATCAATGCATCTTTTCTGTATATTTCTGCTTCAGGAACAATGGTGGAATTGTCAGAATTTAAAACTATTGTCAAGCCAAAAAAACGACGCTATCTTCTTCATTAATGATCAGACAGAGGGTTAAAGGGTACATAACAATATATCATATGATCCTTGATCAGACAGAGGGTTAAAGGGTACATAACAAAAGGTAAAAAAAAATTTGAAATCACTTCAACATTCAACAGTCTTTTAAATCCTGTATTAACAGAGAAGGGTTGATAAAGTATGAAGACCACCCAACAGTAACTAGTTGTACAAAACATTTATATATATATATGTATACTATATAGGTTCAAGTTCATTTAATTCATCAGCATCATTGCACATTGGGTTTATGGTTATATTACTTAATGTAGGGTATCCGTTACTACCCTATTATTTTTGTTTTAACATCTTAATATTTATAATAATAATAATGATAATAGTATGTATTTCAAACTAGATTGATTATACATTACATTTTATGGTCAATGTTTGTATATATAATATAATAAGTGTCAAAAATTAAAATCTGTTACAGTATTTATGTAAATCTTTCTCTAGTTTGAGGACTAATAAAGTCTAGAGACTGTTTGAATTAGCCCATTGATACAGTATTTTTTTTGGGCTGATCCTTTCGTGAAGCAATAAGAGCAAGATGGATGTGAAGAATGGTTAGAGATACCTTGAGTACAGGGGAACTACGCGGCAATGAAAATATTATTAAATTACCGTATGAGTCTGAAGCAGCATGTCACAGAACAAAAACTTACCGATTATGGCAATCAGGACACATAATATTGTTACAAGAAATATTTTTATATAAATTTAAATAGTCGGCACTTAAATAATCTTTCAGATAATTTCTATTTGTTAAAGCTTTCAGATCTTGAGATAAGGAATTCTAATTACTGGGTAAATTTATGTTCAGAATCCATCTTCCTTAAAGGGGCTATATACGTAATTTTAAGTGTCTCTCCTATTATAGTGGCATGTCCAATTCATAACGGTACCTTAAAAGCATTGTTTAATCAACAATCCAATACAATATTTACAATTATGGTTCCTCTTTAAAGTAACTTGCGTATTTCTGCTGCAGAAACTATGGATGAAATTTTAAGAATTAAACACTTTTAAGCGAGAAAACGACGATTTCTTCCATATCATTGATGAGACAAAAGGTTTAAAGGGTACCTAGTTAAATCGGACATCCCTCTCTATAAATAAAGGGTCTATCTTTATCTTCCTTTAAACAAATGTAAATACAATTAATTATATTGCATTAACAACTTAAATGATATAACAACAACAGAAATGTCTATAATTACCATGGACTAATGGATAGAAACGTTTATTATTTTTACGGATTCTCAAGATAATAACAGAAATGTTGGTATAACAAAACTACAATATAAAAAAGTCTACCATTTTTACGGATTCTCAAGTCTACCGAGTCTACCCAATCAACACCTCTTATTCATCTGTGTTAGACATACTCTGAATGGTTTTTGATTTGAAATTAATAGGCGTGTGTAGAGCCAGGAGAAATAGGGCTGTGCGCGTTTACGGAAACGATTATTATTTCCAATCACGAATGATGTTTTCCTGACAAGTTTAGGGGGGTTAGAGGTAACAGTTACAATTCGTTAAAATCAAAGCAAAACAAATCAATTTGAAGCTTAATTTGTGTACAGTGGGACCTTTAAAACTGTGGAATACGAAGACGACGGTCCTGATTCAAAAAGCCCAATAATCATCATCATATTAAATGGATTTAAAACTACAAGTGAAACTATTTGCTATATGACAACATAAAATACGCGCTATGACAACATAAAATACGCGCTATGAAAAACATAAAAATACGCGCAAGATTTCTCAAATGTCGTTTTCCTATTCCATACAATCTCACTGTATGTCGTTAACGGTTTAATGCAGTTAAGAATTAAACCGTTTTAGCAACCTTTAACTTTAACAGCTAAAATTAGATATTTGCGCCGAACCCAAATTTCGGCAAGAATGAGAGAACGAACGTGAAAACATCAAGAGCTTTCGTTACGTAAGATCAAGAACTGTTTTTAAAACTGAGGAATGTTCCCAGGTCTAGTTTAGAGCTGTGGTAAAACCCGGGGGAAATATGAATGTGTGGGTGGCACAAATGTTTCTAACCTTGCTCATTGATGCAACAAGTAGGCTTCAAAACTAGATCAATTATTTTTAACAGTCCACACCCCCCCCTTCCTACCCCTGTTGTTGGTTAGAAACTATTTCTGAAAGATATTAGCACCCATGAAAACCTCATTATAGGTAGTCCCGATATACAGCGAGTGTTAATAAACATACATCTTACAAGACATATTTAAAAGTCGTCGATTTATCACGAAAGGAAACCGTTTTTCGTCGATTTATTACGAAAGGAAACCGTTTTGTCTCGTAATTGAATAATACAGGTTCAGTCAAATTCAATACTTTTGCAAGGTACATTAAAACCACAATGTGCTGAAAAAAATAATCTCTCATTAAATAACTAGTTAGGTGCTTGGCGTTGCCAGTGGAGTTTCAAAATTTCAATTTTCCCTTAGTCACCCCTGAGGTGCCTTAAAAAATAAGCAAATTAGGTCCATCCGTATGGCTCGTTTGGCAAACATATCAATATATAAAAGCAAAGAGCTTTATTATATTGATGTAACAATCTAATTTACATGAATAACTAGCTCATGTAAGCATTTTTAATAATCTATTTAATATCATTTTTCTTTAGTAAACTCTTTTATATATATATATATTTTAATAATATATATATATATATATACATGAGCATTGAGCATGATGTGTTTATCTTCCCCTGCATGTAGATATTTACAATATGTCTAAGGAGTATAGGCTGAACAAACCACAAGAGGCACAGAAGGGAGACGGGGAAACATTCCAGGGCTTTAGAGGAAGTGTATATAGAGCAGAAATAGTAATATGTCCCAGATCTCCAGTGATCATTTTTTAGTCTTCTTCAATTTCTTACAGTGATTGAAAGGATGAGGAAACACGGCAATAAACTTAATAAAGGTGATAAAAGCGAACGAGAAAAGAATATTTATAAGTATATGAAGTTATAAGTGTATAAGTATATGAATGAAAAAACACTGCTAAAATAACCATATTGACCCACAGGAGAAATATTGGGAATAAGAATATGGAATTGAAGCAATGGTTGCAAAGCCATTATTTGACATGTACTTAGTGATTACACAATTCACCCCCCCACCCTCCCCCCCACCAGATCCCTGAAATTGCGCCCATTTCACAACATATGTCACATTTTCCCCTACCGAGCATGTCTGACAGAGTTGAGAAAACGTGCTGCCTCTGCAGAAAAGAGAAGAGGAATTCCCCCGGTTTTCTGAACTCTGCCAACCACAGAGTTAACAATGGTTCAATTTTGGGGCAGAACTTCCCTTCCCTCGGGGTTATGTATGTGTATTACGCATAGAACAACTACTGCTTGTCTGCTTGTAAATTATTCTGCGGTTCAAAAAATTAGTTTAAGAAAATCTACCAAACCTTGTTTTTTTTAAGGAAATGTATTCAGTTTTTCTATATATATCAAACAAATTTATAACTTTTAACTGGACACATTATTATGATGATTTAACTTAATTTTCAAACATTCGTTTATCTTTTTTCATATATTTTATCACAGTAAAACGGCTGAACCGATCGGGGCCAAATTTCTGTGGGACCTCACTGATCCCAGGGAATGTTTAAAACTAGTTAAAAATGAAAAATTTCGCCTTAAATAAATAAGATTTATTAAAATCAACGAAAAAAAGCGATTAAAAAGCAAAATTAAAGTTAAAATAGAAGATGGGCCCAGCCTTATTTTTTTTTTATGTTATACAATTCGAAGAAAGAATGTCACAGAATTTCGAATATAAAAGAACTGAATAAGGTTGCAGTCAAAAAAGGTTTTTTTTATTTTCTGGCAAATATTCTACTTTTGTAGTCGACCTTAAGAGCTAGCTTCATCATCGGCCCGTAGACGGGTTACTACAATACATTAACATCACAGTTTTATTTTAAATAAGAATCTGGATCAAAGTAATCAGTCAGAAGAAACTTCTCAGAAAAAAAACACTATTTAACTCGCATATTTTTTTTCTTCTTTTTTATTAAATATACCCTGCCAGTAGAGCTACTTGTGAACATACTTTAGGTACCCCCGTGGCCCGTAGAACCACTGGTGTACACTGTACAGTGTACATACCTTAGGTACTCCCGTAGAACCATTGGTGTACACTGTACATACCTTGGGTACCCCTGTAGCACCACTAGTGTACACTGTACAAAACTTAGGTACCCCCGTAGAACCAGTCGTGTACACTGATTTAACTTGCATATAAAATACATAAAATGATCATCCTAGAGCATAATGGTGGTAAACTACCGGGCGTAAAAGTAGGATAGAAAAAGCAATACACATAATTATAATTAGTTTTAGTAATAAAAATAAAAATATGAACTAAAATTTCAAAATTTCAAAAAAACATTTTAAAAATCTTAAATAATTCATTTGCCAGATGCCAGATGTGTTCTTGAAAAATGTCGTGTGCATTAATTCTTCTTTTGACACCCTGTTTGCCAACCACTTTAGGCAAAGAGAAGCTTTTGGAATTCTTGACGTACATTTAGACTTGAGGATAAATATTTTCTAAAAAATCCTCAATTCTGAATTAGATGCAGGGAGTTTTGGAACTGACGGATCAAAGATCTAGCTGCAAGTACATGAATAATAAAATTAAGAACGATCGATTTGTATTTTCTGTAAAAGATATTTAACAAAATGGCCGCTATACGCTGTACAGTGTACACTGTACAACTTCAGCTGTTTACATTGGTGTACTGTTTCATATAGATAAATTCAGACAAATTAATCATTTTCGATCAAAAACAGGGTGTAAAGTTTTTCCTACAAATTGAAAACATTAAAAACAATTCCCAATTTTTCATTTCAGGGTTTTCTTCAATTTATAATTTAAATTCTCGAAATATCACTTAATTGTCCAATAATTACCAGTTTTTCATTGAAACATGTTAAAGAATGATGAAGAAAGCATACTTTTTGGAAAATCTTTTAATGTTTGATATAAAGCAGGATTTCAATCCAAAACATTGAAACAGATTGGTATTGAGAATGTTGGAAATGTGTATAAAAATAGTTCTCAATTAACAATTTTTTAGAATCATCATAAGCATGTTATGTTACTCATGGATCAATAACAACTATTTAGAATAAAGAAGATAACTGGCTTTGTTCTTATTGATCAAGTTTAGCAAAATATGACCAATGAGAGATCAGCTTTTATATTTTAAAAATCTATGATAAATGATTTGTGATCAATACTTCCCAATCAAAAATAATCTATTCGAAGGACCAGCCCATGAAGTATTACATTTGATAGGAGAAGATAATATAATCGGGCAACAAGAAATAATTTACTTGCAAGGAAATTGATCTCTTTATGGTATATATGATCAGATAATATCTCTAACTGAAAGCTAACAATATGCAATGAGAGATTATCTCTATCTGAAAGCTACCAATAAGAGATAATGGCATACAAAACATAAAACTGCCTTGCATAATAAAAAAACATTAAATTAAGTTTGATTGATTTGAGTGTAAAGAAAAGTTGCTCGACTCTCCTTGAATGATGAACTTCTATGATTATCCTCTTTCACTTTGTATTATTCAGACTCCATGTTTGCTAGCGTGAAAGAACCAATCTAGTTTAGTTTTCCAGCTTCCACCATGAGCTTCACTGAAGATATTCTAAACAAATTGTTTGAGCATCAATATAAGCATAATCAAATAATAGGGTTTCACAAATTGTTTTCAAAAGATGCAAAAAGGGAATGATTAAAATCATACACTCGCATTTTAACTTTTTTGTTTTAAAAAGTCAAAACATATAATATTTTGTTGGTCTTCGTTCTCTTAGCATTCCATTGATAGTTAATGCTTATTCTTGTTACAGAGCTGTACAAATGTAAATTTTCCAAAACAAAGAATGATTATCCTTCTTATCGTGTATATTAAAAGTTACTTTTAATGCTAATAACAATTAATACTTGTAAATGACGTAAAACAAAATAATTCACGTCGTTTTTCTACCGACGGGGAAATTTCTTAATTTTTCTTATTAGTAAAATTTATTTAGCTAGGACAGTGCATTTAAAATATCTATCAGGGGTGTATATAATTCCAATTTTTTATTCTTTCTCAACATTCCATTGACTCTCTACCTTCCCCTTCCCCAACTACCCTACCTTCACCATACCTTCCCCTTTAACTTCCCTTCCATACTGTCCATGTCCCTTCCGTAGTTACCTACTCCCTACAGTGCGTTCCAAAAAATGTGTCAACTAATATTGTACTTGAGTTTACCGTTGTTTAGCTGAAACTGTTTTGGTTTAGAGGTTAGAAAGGAATTAATACTATTTTTTATTATTTATGTTGTTTTTACTGCAGTACCACAGAATTATGCAAGTAATCTTTTTTCATAGAAATGGGAAAGAAAACACTCTAACCACTTGTGAAAACAAGTTTATCTGGGTCAGGGATATCAATGGATTAAAAAAACCTTATTGCTGGACCACCGACCAGCGTACAATTCAAGGATATTAAATGTAGGTGTTGAGGAACAGAAAAGGTATCCTGAAGGGGAGTTTAAAAGTGCGAAAGGTTGCCATATCCTCAAACTCAAAAAGGTAAATGACAATGAACCCCCATAAGACCATAAAATCACTTTTTGAACCAACAGGGGAGCCTGTAACCCCTAAAATGGCTAGTTGTAAAGTACTGAAAACAATGGGTAGGTTTGTGAAACAGTTCCCTATAGGTCAGGATCAGGAGAACCTAAAAACTGGCTTTTCAAAAAAAGTTAAAGGGGGAGGGGGGGTGATTTTCAAGAAAATAAAATGTGTAAGAAGTTGTCTAACCTGGAAATATTGAAGAGCTTCCTCGTCTGATTTTTCAACTGACAGAGTCTTCCGTAGATATTCAACATCACTGATATTCTGCAGTTCTATAATATTCAACAGTTTAGCATCTTGGGATGAAAAAATGGACGAATAAATAATATATTTGTATGTAATTGTATGGATCCAGTCAAAGGAAAGAACAAGGAAAGATGTTTTCAAGAAAATTTTATTCCACACAAACTATTTTTTTTTTAAATTGGTATTTTTTGAAAAAAAACGAAAATTAAAGATTAGATTTTTTTAATTTTCCCTTAAAAAATAGTGTCTGTTATAATAATTAATAAAGAATATAAATTAATAATAGATAAAATAAATTTAGGATAAATAAAACCTTTCACCATAAACTATCGTTTTACAACATATCTAGAATTTGTGTAAAATCATTTGTAAATTCATTTTTATTTTTTGCTTTTTTTGTGTAACAATACATACCTGAAAACATATTTGATCATAAATCTAACCTGTAATTCCAGTTGGGAGCATCATGGTGAAAAGTGTAATGAGAAGGTTTGCATGTTTGCGTAAAGCCATGTACGCTAAACCACACAACTCCTGGAACCTAAAATATTATAATAACATCAATTTTTTATAAAAGAAATCATAAATATTTTCCCCGAAAACATCGTATTTTTAACTCAAAATATTTGTAAATACAATAAAACAGGCAAGGGTTGAGTTACTTTGAACTTTCAATCTTTCGACTGAACAAAAGTTGTATCTTCCCGTTTTTAGACAACCAACTTCTTTTCTCATCTCAGGGTTGTACAATCTACTTTGTATATTTTCTTGGAAAATATTTTTTTCCTGTACATGTTCTGTAATGTTTAAAATGGTTTTAATTCCCGAATTTGGGCAAAATTATTAAAAAGGAGAACAATTTGTCAATAGTCAAAAGTGATTAGTCAATAGTCAATAGTCAACAGTCAAGAGTCTAGAGTCATTTCTAGGGCACCAAGCGTGGGCTTCAGAATTCTGTAAAATTTATCTGTTTTTAAGTCGTGGATTTGGGAAAGAATATGATTCTGAAAAAGGGGGCAAAAATTTGAGTCTCACAACTAATATACAACCCTGCAATAGTCTAGAGTCAATAGTCTAAAAGTCATTAGTCAATAGTCTAGAGTCAAAGTCAATAGTCTCGAGTCAATAGTCAATAGTCAATAGTCAATAGTCAATAGTCAATAGCCAATAGTCAATAGTCAATAGTCTTCAGTCAATAGTCTCGAGTCAATAGTCATTAGTTAATAGTCAATGCCAATAGTCTAGAGTCCATGGTCTAGAGTCAATAGTCTAAGAGTCAAAAGTCAAAACTCAAAAGTCATTAGTCATTAGTCATTAGTCATTAGTCATTGGTCATTGGTCATTAGTCAATAGTCAGTAGTCCATTATAGTCATAGTAAAGTTTATATTACTTCTCAAACTCGTTGGATTTCCTCGGGTTCTCCTTTCCACCGCTGATCACATAGATAAAATCCTCAGGCAGGACAAACGGTACCCTAGCATCAATCAATCAATTAATATATCTATAAATCAATCAATCACTTAATAAATATATCAAAAAAAGTTAGACCATCACTTAATCTGCAACCAAAGCAAACTTTTCATATAAAATGTGACTTGAAAAGGCAAAATGATTTATGAAATATTTGAATGGAACGAGTTAAAATTAAAAACATAGGGCTCAGTATCTTCTAATATCGCATGAGTAAAATGTACATTGCTAATTTTAAATTTTAAAGGTAAACTGTTTTAAAAAAATGCTGAAAAAGAAAATTAAGGAGCTTAGAATTCAAGTTCCATCTAAAAGCAGGTTTAAAGATAATGTTAATTCAAGTTCCATCTAAAAGCAGGTTTAAAGATAATGTTAATTAGTTAAGTAAAGATAAAGTATCCACCTTTCCCTGTTAATTCCAAATTTCTTCTTATAATGCCCGAGAAAATGGCCGAAGTCAATGTGGAAAATTTGACCCTCCTCGGTCACCATAATGTTGTCCGGATGCCTGAAATAAATTTTCTTTGATGTTTTTATATATAAAAATAAACAAGAGAAGTCCGTATTTAATGATTTTTATATACAGGGTGAGTCAAAAAAAACGATTTGCGGCGCCTGGTGCAAAATTGTGCCTTTTTTGTGAAACTCTCCTGTATGGTGTTTTTTTTTTAATGTTTTTCAAAATTTGTAATTTTTTTTTGGTACTCCAATGGCCCAAAGGAAAATCCGCGAATTTTTTTTTTCTCTCAAAATCAAAAGTTCAGAAAAGCAAAAATATGTATTCATATTATTTCTCTTTAAATCTAAAATATTATTAAGATTGAATCACAGAATCCCAGAGAATTGACAAAATTGTAATAAGAAAATTCTCAATTTTCAGTTCTGGTCTAATTTTTACGGAAAAGTTATTTAAATTCTCAAGTTCCTTTCTTCTTATTATATTCTAAAGTATTAAATATACGCTGTTCAGTTGAAACCTTAAGAACCTTAGAAAAATAATTTTTCCGTAAAAATTATACCAGAACTGAAAATTGCGAATTTTCTTATTACAATTTTGCCAATTTTCTGAGATTCTGTGATTCAATCTTTTTAAAAGTCTAGATTTCGATAGAAACAATTTATTTACACATTTTTGCTTTTCTAATCTTTTGATTTTGAGAGATAAAAAAAAGTTCGCTGATTTTTTTTTGGGCCATTGAAGTACCAAAAAAATTACAAACTTTCAAAAAATATTTAAAAAATGCCCTGTAGGAGAGATGCACAAAAAAGGTAAACTTTTGCACCAGGCGCCGCAAATCACACTTTTTTTTGACTCACCCTGTACTAGACAAGAAAATCTTGTTTGAAGAAAAGTTTCTTAAAATATAAATCTGGTGTACACTGTACACTGTACAATGTACATTTTCTTTTATTAATTAATTGTTTAGTCTTAAAATCAACGATTTTTCTTTTTACATGCTACTTTTGAAATAGAATTTGTATCGATAATTACTTAGTCGTTAATTAACAGACGACTCATTAATCGAGAGAATTTGTTGTTGGTCCTCATTAGTCAGACATTTAGTGATATTTTAAAGTATTTAATTAACCCGTCTGACTACACAAGATACGATTTGTTGCTCTCTGAGCGGATTAAGACTACAAAAGTTGCGACCTCTGGCTAACATTGGTATTGCTGTTTTTTGGCATTTGCCATTTTATGTTGCGCGCCCATGCCCCGTAAAATTCCAAAACAGAGAGAGGGGATTGAATTTTGAAGATCCAGAAATTAGTATTTATTTAGGATTAGGTTAGGTTAAGACACTTTCTGGGCCGAGCGCTGCGGCTAGGACAGGCTAGGGGGCCGAGCGCTGCAGCCACGGGTTAGGTTAAGTTATGAAACTTTCTGGGCCGAGCGCTGCGGCTAGGACAGGCTAGGGGGCCGAGCGCTGCGGCAATAAGTCTTACATTTAAGACCCCACCAGCTGCCAGTCTCTACGCAGGCATCCCACAGATATTATTTTTCTGGATCTACAAAATTCAATCCCCCTCTCTTTGTTTTGGAATTTACGGGGCATGCGCGCGCAACATAAAAAGGCAAATGCCTGTTTTTTACCTGTCTCCGATCCCGAGAATAAACGTGGCGACACAATATCCAGCGCAGGAGGAAGTAAAAGTCTCGATCGCCTGATCAACAAATTATTTATAGTTTATGTCGTCTAATCAAATAATTAATTTTATAGTTTATGTCGTCTGATCAAATAATTAATTTTATAGTTTATGTCGTCTGATCAAATAATTAATTTTATAGTTTATGTCGTCTAATCAAATAATTAATTTTATAGTTTATGTCGTCTAATCAAATAATTAATTTTATAGTTTATGTCGTTTGAGCTGAAAACTTTAGAATGAAATATCCAGATATCCCGTCGAATAATTAATATCCAGTTTAAATATTGCTTGTTCTCCACATGAATTTAAACTCCAGAAGAGTTAACCGATCGGAATTAAGGATATCCAACACAAAAGTTTTCAGCTCTGATCAAATAATTAATTTTATAGTTTATGTCGTCTGATCAAATAATCAAATTATAGACTGTGTCGCTAGAGAAAATAATTAATTAAAAGATTTCGTAAACTAAGAAATAATAATCAAAAACAAGAAAAAACTCATAGAATTGTAAGATACCAAATCCTAGGATTGTAAGATACCAAATCCTAGGATTGTAAGATACCAACCTGTTCAAGCAAGGTTTTATTCTTCTCCCGAATCCATTTAAACAGCTGGGTGTTATCAACCTAATCAAGCAAATAATATTTTACAATCTTTTTTTTTAACTGTTTAAAAAATACGTTTATTCAAAGAGAATAGAAATCTCCCAAGAATATGTAATGACAGTCAACCTATAGGTTTTGGGAAAATCTACGAATTCTAAATTTTTATCTTTTAACAGAGTGAGAAGAAAAAACTTCGCAATTCAATTCATCAAAAACTTCTACAAACTAGGAACAAGAAGTGTTTAGCAAGTCTGAAAAAAATATTTAACCTGAATTGCTGCGAATTTCCCTCCTAGTCGTTGTATCTGATAAACTGTTACAGCGTTCCTTACTACCTCTATCATACCAACCTATAGATAGTAACAAATATTATATAACTAGGCTTTTAGGGAGCTTCGCGCCCATCTTTTATTTCAACTTTTAATTGTGGCTTTCTCTGTGATCATCTTCTCATTGTACAGTATAACACAAAAAAAGTTTGCGGATTTCTTATTATTTTTTTCGCGCATTTTCAAAATTTTACAAAGATAAAAAACTTTTGAACACACATTTTTGAAATTTTGATCATTCATAAACGTTCCCAGGGGTCACGTGAGGTCCCACATAAAATTCGGGTCCGAACGGTCCAGCTGTTTTGACGTTTATTGGATATAAACTAACAAACAAACAGACACCCAGGCAAGCTAAATTTTTATATAGATTAAACATTCATTATATTTTTTACTGGGATGGAATTTGATGAATTGGATAGAGGTTGCTGAACTACCTTCCGCCGGTTCAAATCCTGAATTAAAAGTTAAAGATTCTTGAGGATTTGAATCGGTGATTTGAAGCGGCAGTATGAAGTTCAGCGACTTCTCCAATTCATTAAGTTCCGTCCCTGGTATAAAAATATTTAAGAACAAAATTTATATTCCCGATCTAGATATTTATATTTCTAGATATAAAATCAGTATTGGGGGAAACTAAAATAAACTATCATTAAATACTTTCAAAGATATTTCTTTTAAAAAAAAGAACCTACATTCCTTTCCTAGCTTTACGCTTCCATATAACATGGAATACGTTAGTACTACTCGTCATTCAAAAATGAGTTAAAAAGATATCTCTCTGATTCTTTTAATGAAAGCATTAACTAGCTCAAATCATTATTTTAAGTTAGTGAAGATGTAGAACAAAACAAAATTCGGAGTCTTTTTGGGAAATAATAAAAAATAAGTGTCGTCAGTATTCAGTATTCAGTAATTGTACTTGAGATCATATAAACCCATCTATATATACTTGTCTTGTCTGGGTGTTTGTCTGTCTGTTTGTATCTAATATATGCCAAAACGACTGAACCGATCGGGCCAAATTTTTTTGTGGGACCTCATGTGACCCAAGGGAAGATTTATGGATGATCAAATATTCAAAAATTTGCCTCCAACGAAATTAGATTTTCAATTTTTTTGAAAATTTTGAAAATCCACGAAATCATTTTATGTTCACAATTGAAATAGTAGATAGAGCCTAGTTTCTATAAAACACCACAAGCAATGATGATGTTAATTGTGAGAATGTTAACCTGCGACCCTGTAGCAAGACAAGCATACGGCATCATCCTTAGATTCAGACCTTCACGGTTCCATATACTGTCCATTATACGGATAACCTAAACAAACCAAACATTGAACAAAAATTTCAATAAAAATTATTGATTAAGTCTGAAAAAATGTCGATTTTTGTCACCTGAAGGGTCAGCATATCCTGCCTCAAATCATCTCCGTTCTAAGTCAATATATCAATAAAACAATTGCGTTAAATCTTAAAGAAATTGAACTCGAATAAAACTTAAATTTTCTAATCCCTATCTTTGTAACCTGATGAAACCTTTGATATTTCAAATTATGAATTATGAAACAGTCAAAGCTTTGAAATATCAATTGTTCACACATCCAAAGTTACGAAGATATAGGGATTAGAAACATCAGTTTGAGAGGGTTGAGTAATCATTTCATTTGTTCAGAATTTTAAATTATCATTGAATTAATAAAATCAAACGAGAAAGAAAACGGAAATAAAAACAGGATTTCTTTTATTTGGTTAAATTGATATATTTATTGATTTAATTAAGGATTAAAAAAATGCAAAGGATTAAAAGGGAAAGTAAAAGAGGGAAGACGTTGATAAAATAAAATTGATATTTTCCTTAAATATGATACTGTTGAGCTCGTATCCTTTTATCTTATCAGACAGGGGATCTGGGTTCTTCCACACCTTAGTTAATCCATTTGTTAATTAATAATTAACAAAAGTATTGATTATTGAAAATATCTTAAAACTTTTTGCCATTTAAACATATGAATGTCTGGGGTCTCGGTCAGTTTATAACTATGAAAGTTTAAAACCTTGGCTTTCCCAGTTTGTATATATTCTTTGAGATTAAGTCACAGAAAAGATTGTTTTTTCTTAGTCTGTAAACGTAAAATGTATCTCATTTCTAACGAAGGCGGGGGACGTCTTATTTTTGTCTGTAAAGAAACACGATTGCGCATATTGAATTTATTTTTGTTTTGTCTGGGGTCTCGTTCAGTTTATAACTAGGAAATTTCAAACCTTGGCTTTCCCAGTTTTTTTTTTTTTTTGAGATTTAGAAACAGAAAAGATGATCTTATTTAATCTGTAAATGTATTTTAATATCTCCGATCTAAAGAAAGTAACAACTTTTTCAATAAAAAAAAAAAATTGGCCTTATGATATTATTTAATTTTGTCTGGGGTATCGGTCAGTTTATAACTGTGAAAGTTTAAACCTTGGCTTTCCCAGTTTATATATATTCTTTGAGATTTAGAAACAGAAAAGATTGTTTTTTCTTAGTCCGTAAATGTAAAATGTATCTCATTTCTAACGAAGGCAGAAACGTCTTTTTTTTGTCTGTAAAGAAAAACGATTGCGCTTATTAAATTTTTTCTTTCTGGGGTCTCGGTCAGTTTATAACTAGGAAATTACAAACCTTAGCTTTCCCAGTTTTTATATTTTTTAAGATTTAGAAAGAAAAAACGATAATCTTATTTAATCTGTAAATGTATTTTTTAATCTCCAATCTAAAGAATGTAACTTTTTCAATTAAAAAAAAATGGGCCTAAGGATATTATTTTTTTTTGTCTGAAATCTGGGTCAGTTTATAACTAAGAAAGTTTTAAACCTTGGCTTTCCCAGTTTATATATATTTTTTGAGATTAAGTCACAGAATTTTTTTCTTTTCTTTTTTCTGTAATTATGTATTTTTTATCTCATTTCTGAAACGCCGAAAATTCTTCAATTTATATAAGAAAATAAAAAAGATTGTGTGCTCAGAAAATAAAAAAGATTGTGTTTTTGATATATTTATTTATTGGTTGAGGTCTAAAGAAAGTATGTTAAGTTGATGAGCCCCCCGAAAAGTTAGTATTATAAATATTCTTACCAGCCACAAGGGTTTCTTAGCACTGTCCATTACTCGGCACCTATTTATCTCAAGTTGACCTGCCAAAAAAATGTACTTTTTGCTATAATAGTTTATTTAAAGAAGAAAGAGCTCAGGATGATGTACTACTTAATAAAAATAGTTCATGAATATTATGTCTTAAAATCTGGCTTTATTTACAGTTTCCGAGCATTATTCTGATTTTCAATATAAATAACACAATTTCCATTCTTATATAAGCTACTTTTATATATTGCTTTTCTGTTTAAGCTTTTAAAATGTTTCTTTGAATATTCTTATAATTATTATCAACGATCAACCTACAGACAAAGTACCATTTTTCAGCTTTTTTATTTTTGCGAATGTTGCTTCTAAAAAACTACAAAATGGATTATGCATAATCATAGGTAATCCCGCCGATATGTGCAATATGGACCATAAGGCCCTCCGCAATAGGGTACCCCATAACCGACCAATTTGGGATATTTGTATGATGCAGATCGGAATGAAGTGACATTAAGTCATACAAATTCAGGATTTTTTTGGAGATTGGACCACTTTTACCGTCTGATATACTGATATACCGTCTGCATCATAAAAATATCCCAACTTGGTCGTTTTGGGATACCCTACTCCGCAACTACAAGTAACTAACAACCTAACTAACAAGTAACTAACAAAATTAGTATGCAACAAAACAACTGAGAACTGACCTAGTGAAAGCGTGTGTTCAAGAGGAGATCTGAAATTCTGTAAACTTGCCATATAATCAATCTTCGAGATCTGTTCATACAGATACCTTAACATAAATATATTGTTCAGATATAGTCCTAATATGATTCGAAAGTTACTTTTGAAAACATTCATTTCTGTTTCGAGGATTTTTTTTAATGGAGACGACAGTTTCATATTTTCCAGGAATGTTCGAAAATCCAGCGCCAGCCATGAAAACAAGTTAAATATTAAATATTAATTTAAAAAAAATATCTATATAAAAAAATTATGAAATGTAAACTTTATAAGAATGCGTCGAAAAAAGTCGATGATTATAGATTGTAATATCTGAATGATTTGTTTAGAATTAATTTGATTTTTTACGATCCGAGTCGAATATTGCAACTTTTCATTTTCGCTAACACTCCCTTTTAGTGACGTGGCGATTTTCCGATTAAAAAATGATGGAAATTTTCATAATTAAACACTTACTATCGAAAATGACGATATCTTTCAGATTGTTGATCTTATAAAGGGTTAAAGGGTTCGATTGTGAATCTGGTATAGCTCTCTTAAAAGTTAAGGAGTCGCTTAAAATTACGTCTATATTCTACATTCTCTTTATGTTATGTACACTTATTATTTATTTAGGCGAAAACTCCACACTTGTAAAATAAAAACCTTAAACTTTAGAGTTAGTTTAAGACAAGTTTTGAGCCGAGCTCTGTGGCTGCGACAGGATAGGTGACCGAGCGCTGAGATCAAAAGTACCATGATGTTGGTCGATATAGTGTCAAGGATTCGTTAGTACCAAGTTAATTAACACCCTATGAAAAATTCTAACCTTAGTCGTTTTTCGCTTGGTTCATTAGCTCGCTCTTTAATGGAATCTGTCAGCTTCGTTAGTTTGTCAAGCGCTTCAACTTGTCGGTTCAATTCCTAAACAAAAATTTTAATAAAGTATTTTAATACCCTTTAGCGTCTCTGGGGCGTTTATAAGACGCAATGCTATGGTGACTGAGTGTCACTATGCAGAAGTGAAAACTATGATTTAATAAAGGCTCCACCTTCTCCCCCCCCCCCAGCTGAAAACTTTTAATAGGTTAAGCCCACCGGCCACCGAAAAAATTTTGTCTACGTCCCTATTTTCAAAGTGTGCGTCCGGTTATTTCTGTCCAATCTCTGTGTCCTATCTTTGTGTCTCAATGTTGTGTCCCAATTTCTATGTTTACCTTCAGGGATGGTCCTAGACCCCGACAGAAGGCCTCTAGAAGAAGACCAAACCGGATTATGTGACACGGACTTGACATCTCAGATTTCAAGTGCCAGAAGAAAAAATGCCCAATTTTTCTAAAATAAAAGAAAGTTAAAAAAAAAGAATTGACGATAGATGTCAAGAGCGGCTCCTCATTCGTGCATTTTTCTTAAGACTTTTCTCATATGCTGACCTATTAAGAACTGTTCTTCAGTTCTAAGTGACCTTTTAAGAAGTGCTCTTCTATATTGACCTAACTTTTAAGAAGTGCTCTTCTATTCTGACCTAATAAGTGCTCTTTTATACTGACCTATTAAGAAGTGCTCTTCTATACTGACCTATTAAGAAGTGCTCTTCTATACTGACCTAGTAAGAAATGCTCTTCTATACTGACCTATAAAGATTTTAGAACTATTCTCCTATACTGACCTATTAAGAAGTGCTCTCCTATACTGACCTATTAAGAACTATTCTATACTGACCTATTAAGATTTTAGAACTATTCTCCTATACTGACCTATTAAGAAATGTTCTCCTATACTGACCTATTAAGAAGTGCTCTCCTATACTGACCTATTAAGAAGTGCTCTCCTATACTGACCTATTAAGAAGTGCTCTCCTATACTGACCTATTAAGAAGTGCTCTCCTGAGGAGTAGTTTAGAAAGAGGATTGTCCAAGTATTGTTCATATTTCAATGTTTGCACAAGCTGAAGTAAATACAGGCCTAGAAATAAAACATAAACTTTATTTGTAAATTTCAATCATCTTCAAAATTTAAGAAAATTCTAACATAAATGTTGAATATATAACCAGAAATAGTATGAAAGGTTAATAGAAATTTATTAACTAATGTAAAAATAGTCAAACTTACCTAATTCTTCATCTGAGAGTGATTTATCCAACCATTTTACAGCACACTTTCGCACTCGTAAATCCGCAAACTAAAATAATATAAAATAATTTCACAACAGAGAGTAAAGAAGCCCTTGCTGAGATTATGATCCAAAAATGCCATTGTCTGCGAAGAAGTTTGTATCCTGCGTAGAGACTAGTATCACACCTAACAGACCAGCCACTCCCAATATCATATGCCTACGTATAGACAAGTATCCTACCTTACAGTTCAGCAACTCCAGGGTTGTATGCGTAGAGACGAGTATCCTACCTTACAGCCAAAAACTAAGGATGTCTGCTAGGAGACTAGTATGCTACCTAACAGACCAATAACTCCCAATATGCCTGCGTATAGACTGGTATCCTACCTTACAGTCTAGCAACTCCAAATATGTCTGCGTAGAGACGAGTACCCTACCTTACAGTCAGGCAACTCCAAGGATGCTTGCGCAGAGACAAGTATCCTACCTTACAGTCCAGAAACTGCAAGTTTGTCTGGATAGAGACTAGAATCTTACCTTACAGTCCAACAACTTCAAGGATGTCTGCGTGGAGACTAGTATCCTACCTAGCAGTCGAACAACACCAAGTCTGCAAGCGTAGGGACTAGATCCTACCTTACAGTCCAACAACTCCAAGTATGTCTGGATGGAGACAAGTAGCCTACCTCACAGTCCAGCAACTCCAAATATGTCTGCGTAGAGACTTGTATCCTACCTTACAGTCCAGCAATTCTAAGTATGCCTGCGTAGTGACTGGTATCCTACCTTGCAGTCACGAAACTCCAAAGATGTCTGCGTAGAGACTGGTATCCTACCTTACAGTCAAGCAACTCCAAAGATGTCTGAGTAGACTGGTATCCTACCTTACACTCTAGCAACTCCAAATATGCCTGCGTAGAGACTGGTATCCTACCTTTCAGCCTAGAAACTCCAAATATGTCTGCGTAGAGACTGGTATTCTACCTTACAGTCCAGCAACTCCAAAGATGTCTGAGTAGACTGGTATCCTACCTTACACTCTAGCAACTCCAAATATGCCTGCGTAGAGACTGGTATCCTACCTTTCAGCCTAGAAACTCCAAATATGTCTGCGTAGAGACTGGTATTCTACCTTACAGTCCAGCAACTCCAAAGATGTCTACGTAGAGACTAATATCCTACCTTACAGTCTAGAAACTCCAAAGATGTCTGCGTAGACTGGTATCCTACCTTACAGTCTAGAAACTCCAAAGATGACTACGTAGAGAATGGTTTCCTACCTTACAGTCTAGCAACTCCAAAGATTTCTGCGTAGAGACTGGTATCCTACCTTACAGTCTAGCAACACCAAAGATGTCTGCGTAGAGACTGGTTTCCTTCCTTACAGTCTAGCAACTCCAAAGATGTCTGCGTAGAGACTGGTATCCTACCTTACAGTCCAGCAACTCCAAAGATGTCTGCGTAGAGACTGGTATCCTACCTTACAGTCCAGCAACTCCAAAGATGTCTGCGTAGAGACTGGTATCCTACCTTACAGTCCAGCAACTCCAAAGATGTCTGCGTAGAGACTGGTTTCCAATCCTCCAATAACATATAAACCTCAGAAACTTCGTCTCTAGACTCCCATTTTACAGCATCCAGCAACCTTAGAGAATAAAGGATTAACTTTTAACTCTGCCAGAGGTCAAAACTTCTGTGGTAATCTGTATATTTTGTGGTCAGAACAATTAAATTGTTTCTCTGAAGATCGGAAAAAAATGACGTTAATATGAAATAGAGCTGTTGTCACAGAGTTAACACCTAGATATCGAGATCAGGTGTTATAGATTAGCGCCATTTAAAAAAAAATCTAACCTCTAAATCAGTTTCAATTAAAAGTAAAATTGAAATATATTTCTAGGAACAGATACTTGAATCTCAGATGTAGAAAGGATAAGTATTAAGTACCTGGGTAAAATGTTTGGCATCTTCTTCAGATAATGCCTATAGGTCCAGAGTAGAACCTTCTCCTGTTCAGATATCTCAGACAAGGGATCCCGTAGCTAAACAAGATAAGTTATTTATCATACAAATATCCATAAAGCAGATCAGCAAAATATGGATGTGTTTAATTTAGTATGCTTGTGCCCAATATGGCCAGCAAAACATTGAATACTTATGAGAAATATAACTTGATAAAAACACTGGGTAACATAAAAATAGTAGCTTATCACTTAAGTTAACATTTAAACACAGACGTTCGTTTAGAATTGGAAAAAATTTAAAATAGCACGGGCCACGCCGGATACTTGAGCTGTTTCTGGTTAAACAGGTGGGAAAATAGCAATTTATCAAATAATTATTTATATGATTATCTTACCTCTATATCCTTGAGGACTAACCTATCCTTTTCAGACGGTCTTTCCGTCATTTTATCCATGCATTGACTAAAAGAAAAGTTCCAGAAAAATAAAATCTAATTAAATAAATATTACATTTTCTAGTTTTCCTTACTATTTGATTACCTGCTAATAAAAGAAGCGTAGTTTTTAATGGAATCGTAATCCGGGAAAAGAATAGGATTTGCACCTAAAAATAAATCATTTTACAAACTTTATAATGGTTTTATTTTAAGCGTTAGAGTTTTCCTTTGTGATTTTACATTATTAAAAATGAGTTTCCCAAGACCTCAATATCGCTTCTAATTTCGCTGAATCATATTTTTTAAAGGAAAAAATAAAGATTTTGAAGAAAAAAATTGAATGAACTTTGAATATTAAATAATAATTATGCAATCTTAAAATAATATACCGCTTCATAATATTTATGAAAAGCAAGGATTAAACTTACTTTTCTCGAACTCTAGTTCTAGCCTAGGAGAGTCTGTGTTAGGATTAGACCCAATGATACCGAGAGGGTTTAAGTAATCGTCAAATCCTTTAGGTACTCCCCAGAGGTAGAACGGAGTCTTATCACATAGTAACCTAGACAATAGACATATTAGAGATTGTTACAATTACTAGTAGTATTATCATTATTATCATTATTATTATCATTATTAACATTATTATTATTATTATCATTATTATCATTATTATCATTATTATCATTATCATTACTAAAGGACACCAAGAACAACTCAACATTCGCTGAAGTGCGGGATCGGCAGAAAAATAATGAGTTAAAGAAAATATGTGAAGACTGTTCATTTTCTTTTGTGGTTTCTCTGCAAAATTGACAAACGCATTTTTGGTTATAAGAGACGTTATCTTCAATCAGATTAAGGTTTCAAGGGTATCAGGTAAATCGGGCATTGTTATCTTTGCTTGAAGGTTCACTTAAATACACGCTCACAGTCTCTTTGAGAGAGAAAAACGCAATATTATTTCGTATCACTACATTTATCCGTATTAAAAACAGAAATAGTGTACTTACTTGTGTGTATAATCGAACATGTTCATGTTCCCCCAGGACAGCATTGTGGTCTCCTCCTTATCCTACATCAAACATGTCGTCATCAAGAATATAGACCTCGACCCTTTATAATTTTCTTAAAGAAATTGTTCGTGTGTGAAAAAGTGGCGTACACGGGGGGAGGGGAGATTTGGGGGCTCAGCCCCCCCCCCCCGTATCAGTAAAATCTTTGGTTTAAGCCCCCCTGAACACTGCTGTACCAAATTTGATATTTAAGATCCTTTCAAATACAAACTGAAGATTTAATTTCATTTCAAAGTTAATTTGAATTTTATCTCCAGGCTGGTCCAAGCTGGTCCTAGCTGGTCCAACCTGGTCCAACCTGGTCCAAGCTAGTCCTAGCTGGTCCAAGCTGGTCCCAGCTGGTCCAAACTGGTCCAAGCTGGTCCAAGCTGGTCCTAGCTGGTCCAAGCTGGTCCAAACTTGTCCAAGCTGGTTCAAGCTGGTCCAAGCAAAATAGACGGAAAGAAAAAATGAAACGATTTTTACAGAAAGTACTGCATGTTTGTATTGTATTGTATATACCTTGTTTCTACGTTGCTTCTTTGATGAACAGATGGATAAACATAGTTTAGCTGATCGAGGAATATCTGGAACCTGTTTACAAAACAATATTCAGCTTGAAACCGGTTTTCTATAGTGCTTGAAGGTACATTTTAGTATTTAAAAGACTTTTCTTGTATTATCATTTTCATGAAAGGTGCCGACAGGACCTTCATGCATCTGGTAAGTGTACAGAGGGTTTGTGGCAGTACGCCATTGAACTTGACCCATGCTTGGTGGTACACACTTTGGCCTGTGTGGCCAACCGCCAATGACACCCCGCTTCTCCCGTTGGGGATAGTGCGGTGACGTGGGCTCTACCCATGCCTCTCTTCGTACTAATAGGTGATTGGTATCTCAGTTGTTATGATCCTGCTTTTTAGACGGAATAAAATATACACAGATCTGGATTCAGGACAAAAAAAAACATGAAAAAAATCCACCTAACATTGAAAAGACAAACATCAAAGAAATTGAGTTGTCACGACAACAATTTTTCTCATCCCTATATCTTAGCAACCTGATTGTATAAATCTTTAATCTTTCAAACTTAGGTCTTTGATCTCACAAGTACTCTTAATTTAAAATGTCAAAGGTCTACGACATTGGGTTGCAAAGATAAAGGGATTAGAACATACGAGTTTGTGGCAAAAACTTAGTTCATTTAAAAAAAATGTAAATATTTTTTTTAAGTTTAATCTCCGATATGAAAGTTTAAAAATAAATTGTTTACCTTTATATCTAGATCAACCCATTCATCCCATTTAGGATTAGTATAATCAACCTAAAATTGTTATCATAAAATTAAATTTGTTTATAAAAGAACATTTCTAATCAATGGTATAAAAATGGTTAAACAAAATACTTACATGCTTTGTCTCCTTGATAATACAGAGGGGCTCTGTTCCATGGAATATACCTACTCTTACATAGATCATGTCCACATCCTAGATACATAGATATATATACTCTTATATAGATCATATCCACATCCTAGATAGATAGATATACATACTCTTACATAGATCATATCCACATCCTAGATACATAGATATATATACTCTTACATAGATCATATCCACATCCTAGATACATAGATATATATACTCTTACATAGATCATATCCACATCCTAGATACATAGATATATATACTCTTACATAGATCATTTCCACATCCTAGATACATAGATATATATACTCTTACATAGATCATATCCACATCCTAGAAACATAGATATATATACTCTTAAATAGATCAAATCCACATCCTAGATACATAGTTAAATATATTCTTACAAAGATCATATCCACATCATAGATACATAAATATATATACTCTTCCATAGATCATATCCACATCCTAGATACATAGATATATATACTCTTCCATAGATCCTATCCACATCCTAGATAGATATATATACTCTTCCATAGATCATATCCACATCCTAGATACATAGATATATATACTCCTCCATAGATCATATCCACATCCTAGATACATAGATATATATACTTGTCCATAGATCATATCCACATCCTAGATACATAGATATATATACTCTTACATAGATCATATCCACATCCTAGATACATGTATAGCTGAAAGGTAAATCTCAATTTTAGCTTCCATTTGTTTGTGTGGCGATATGTAAGAAATATGAATTGATAAAAAGATCTGAGAGGGAACCCCCAAACCGTCATCGTAAGGGTGCAGCACATCACCTTGGAATATTTATCTTCCTCTATTTATTTATGTATTTAAATTGCAAATATCTATATATATACAGGGTGAGTAAAAAAAAGTGTGATTTGCGGCGCCTGGTGCAAAAGTGTAACTTTTTTGTGCAATTCTTCTGTATGGTGTTTTTAAAAATATTTTTTGAAAATTTGTATTTTTTTGGTACTTCAATGGTCCAAAAAAAACCGAACCTTTTTTTCTTTCAAAATCAAAAGTTCAGAAACACAAAAATGTGTGAATAAATTGGTTCTATCGAAATCTTAAATTTTAAAAAGATTGTATCACAGAATCTCAGAAAATTTGCAAAATTGTAATTAGAATATTCGCAATTTTCAGTTCTGGTATAATTTTTACGGAAAAATTGTTTTTCAATGATTCTTAAGGTTTCAACTAAACAGCGTATATTTAATACTTTAGAGTATACTAAGAAGAAAGGAACTAGAGAATTAAAATAACTTTTCCTTAAAAATTAGCCCAGAACTAAAAATTGCGAATTTTCTTATTACAATTATGCCAATTTTCTGTGATTTTGTAATTCAATTTTAATAAATTTTAGATTTAGAGCGAAATAATATGAATGCACATTTTTGCTTTTCTAAACTTTTGATTTTGAGAGAAAAAAAAGATTCGCGGATTTTCTTTTGGCTCATGGGAGTACCAAAAAATTACAAAATTGAAAAAACACCATACAGGAGAGTTGCACAAAAAAAGGTACAATTTTGCAACGGGCGCCGCAAATCACACTTTTTCGACTCACCCTGTATATATATATATACATACACAAAGTTACCCGCAAAGAATGATACTTCAGAGACGACTGTAAGGACCTTAGTATAAGTATTTTTCCTTATATTCATGATTCCGTGAAACCATAAACTTGTATTTATCTTTGCAAAATCATTTAATAAAACATTAAAAGACTAAGTTGAAAAAAAAACATGATTTAACCGTCCGTTTGTCATAATTTTAGAGTGCTAGGTCGTTTTTTCAGTCTCATTTTTTGTGAGTACCCCTGTATATGAGTGAATCGACTAAAGGTAATTAGTTCCATACCTTGACATTGACGTAGTTTGCACTGATTATATGAACCCTGAAACATTCATAGATTTAGGTGGGTAAATAGATTGATGGATAGATAGATAGATAGATATGCAATGCAGGTAGATAAATAGGATAGATAAGTAAGTAAATAGATAGATAAATAAATAGATAGACAGATATTTCGGTAGATAGAAAGATAGATAGATAAATGAAAACAGACACATTGAGTTAGATAATGACTCGTCCAAACATACAATCAAATGTACTCATTTTCACGCAATAATCAATACTCAAAATACACTCCCTTATGTACTCCCTGATTTATTCCCTGATTTACTCCTTGATGTACTCCTTGATGTACTCCTTGATGTACTCCTTGATGTACTCCTTGATGTACTCCTTGATGTACTCCTTGATGTACTCCCTGATGTACTCCCTGATGTACTCTCTAATGTACTCCCAAATTTACTCCCCAATGTACTCCCTTGTGTACTCCCTACCTGAAAGTATGATTAACCCTCCAGAGTGAGTCCGTCTGTCCCTGGCTCTGGCTGATGTTCTTCCTCGAATATCCTAGAGAAATGCAAACTCAAGATTGTATTTCTCATTAAGGAAGTGCCAAAAATTTAAGGATTTGCTTAATTGATGGGAAACAGAGAATACTGATCAAAAATGTCAAACACGTGTTCAATTTTGTTAACTTTGCCATTTTATTTATTTTATTTCAACGATCGATTTTGCGCGATTACTTAGCATTAATACACCGTAAAAAATTGATATAAGCATGAAATAATCAATAAAATTGTCTCTATTATATTGCACTCTCAGCTCCCAATAACTCACTTTGGTCAGAAAACCTGACTAAAACTATTTGTATCTGATAGGAACTCTGTAAAGTATAATTTACCTGGGTTAAGAGCATTAGTAGAATCAAATTTAGTAATATTATTGTAAATAGTGTCTCGGGACATTATCATCAAATGCGGGGTCTCACGCTTCGTTATACATTGCCTAAATATACAAATATCTATAACATATTTAATGATCATTAACTTTGTAGGTGGAAAAGAAACCACAATTATATTACGAGTTATTAACTTAACCTTCCCCCCCCCCCTCTTAATGCTTCTTACCGCCTTTTGACCAACATTACAGACCTATGATTCCCCCAACAGAGGGAAATTATGTTACTCATCGTCCCTTTGGACAGTTATGTAAAATAACCACCCGTTCTGCAAAGTCTTTAGGAAAAAAATCTCGCATTTTCATTTCATAAGACGATAAAATTGTGTACAACTACTTTTTCGGGAGATTAAAAATTTGACTAACCACGGGTTCCCTCGACCAACCCTTAGTAAAGTAAAATTCCCTTAACTTCCCTGTAAGTAGTTGCAAATAATTATTAACTTCTTAAAACTTTATTCTTACCATTGCGTTCTCTAAGTGGTTCAACGCCAAAAATTAAGTTTTAAGGGAAAAAGTAATTTTCCTTTAAAGTGAATATTGACGTAATTGCAGAAATCCGCGAGTCACTTTTATAGAAAACCACAATTAAAATGTTCAAATAAAAAACAATTATATTTTATTATTTTTGTTATTCATTTTTGCCCCATCCTGAACTAAAAATAAAAACGAACGGACCTGATATATCGATACTGAGATATGGGACAAGATTTTAAGAAATATTGATCACTACCAGCCACCTTAAAATAAAATCAATTGATCAATCGAATCCTTCATTCACTTTAAATCAAAATCAGCAATATCAACAAAATAATTGTAAAAATCCATTACATAATTACATCATAAATACAATTTAAATTAGATAAAAAATTAATTGTACCTTAAGTAAATAATGATCATGAAACTGTTCCACTACCCTCCTCTTATCCTCAAGCTTGGGGTACTCCTTAGAGTTCTTGATAGACTTGAAGATTGCCTAATTTATCAAAGATTTATAATTTGCAAAGTGACAACTTTCCGAATCAATCAATCAATCAATCAATCGTATGAGACCTTGAACCTGACCTGTTTAATGATATTTAACGGATAATAGTTAAACCGCTGACCTTTTGACTGACATCTATTGACTAAAAAATAAAACTCTGACCTTTTCTGATTGATGACATCTAGTAGTGTAAAATTAACCATGGCATTTTTAATGCCATTCAGCAGTCAAAAGTTAAAGGGACCGTTCACTAATTTGGGTAATTTCAAGGTAAACTAATTAGCCTATTAGCTAATCATTGGTATTAGACTTAATTCTCAAAGATATCTATGACCGGAGAAAAGCCGATTTATTTAGAATTTCAGCGGAAAGGAATGATACCTTTGCATTGACACTATTTAAACGTTTTTTCAGTAACAACAGTCCAATAAAATCTAAAATTATCATATTTCAATGACATCATGTGTCAGCCATTTTATAACAAAAAATGAAATCTTTCGATTTTATAATTAGCAAGAAAATAAGAGTTTTCGTGCTCAATCATGATTTAACAAATTGAAACGTTTATACAAAGACGACTTTCTCTCTCAGACAAACCGGTTCCTAGATTCCAACTCTTCAAATCAAGGGGATTCCTGAGGAAGTAGGAAAAACGTATAAAACCGTCAAATGTTTAAAAAAAAGTAATATTTTTAAAATTAGAAATTTAAAATGATTTTTAAAAAAATTTGCAGATTTAAGATATCTACAATTAGATAAAACAATTTAATTTAACATTTGAAATTTTTTTATTACATAATTAAGACAAAGAGTATCAAATAGTGTAAATGCAAAGGTATCATGACATCTATTGACTAACAACTCTGACCTACTTAATGAATAATGATATCTAGCGCTGAATTGATAAAACTCAGAACTCTGACCACTTTTATGACATCTATTGCCTAAAAGTTTAAACTTTGACCTCTTTAAAGATATATAACGCTGAATTGTTAAAACTTAGAACTCTGACCTCTTTTATAACATCTATTGACTAAAAGTTTAAACTTTGACCTCCTTAAAGATATCTAGCGGTGTATAATTAAAACTCTAACCTCTTATATGACATCTATTGACTAAAAGTTAAAAGTCTGACCTTCTTAATGATATCTAACGGTGTATATTAAAAACTCTAACCTCGTATTTGACATCTATTGACTAAAAATTAAAACTCTGACCTCTTTAATGACGTCTAGTGGTGTTGATGTTGGCAGAACAGCAACTGTGTATTTCTGCTTCTGGCACTGAGCGGTCAGCTGCCAGATTGCAATTAGGATAGAACCTAACACAAGATTAGACTATAAAATTTACTTATTTCAATGACTAATCTAATTTACAATAGTAAACAATTAGGAACTTTTGAGAGCAAAAAAAAACTAGATATATATTTGGATCTAATGATTCCAAGGGAAATAATAACAAAGTATTTACATTTGACAACCAAAAATGTATTGGACTGTATAAATATGTAAATATAAATGTATGGGAATGCAAATATAAATGTATCGGACTATACAAATATGTAAATATAAATGTATCGGACTGTATAAATATGTAAATATGAATGTATCGGACTGTACAAATATGTAAATATAAATGTATCGGACTGTATAAATATGTAAATATAAATGTATCGGACTGTATACAAATATGTAAATATAAATGTATCGGACTATACAAATATGTAAATATAAATGTATCGGACTGTACAAATATGTAAATATAAATGTATCGGACTGTATAAATATGTAAATATAAATGTATCGGACTATACAAATATGTATATATAAATGTATCGGATTGTACAAATATGTAAATATAAATGTATCGGACTGTACAAATATGTAAATATAAATGTATCGCACTATACAAATATGTATATATAAATGTATCGGACTATACAAATATGTAAATATAAATGTATCGGACTGTACAAATATGTAAATATAAATGTATCAGACTATACAAATATGTAAATATAAATGTATCGGAATGTACAAATATGTAAATATAAATGTATCGGACTATACAAATATGTAAATATAAATGTATCGGACTGTATAAATATGTAAATATAAATGTATCGGACTGTATAAATATGTGAATATAAATGTATCGGACTGTATAAATATGTAAATATAAATGTATCGGACTGTATAAATATGTAAATAATAATGTATCGGACTGTTCAAATATATATATATAAATGTATCGGACTATACAAATATGTAAATATAAATGTATCGGACTGTATAAATATGTATATATAAATGTATTACAAATATGTAAATATAAATGTATCGGACTGTACAAATATGTAAATATAAATGGAGAAAAAGACCTTTTTCTAGCTTATCAGCTAGACTTTTAGGAAGATCTGGATACTGCTCAATTTCAGGGGGATGCTCGTACAAAACCTGATGGGAATAATATCAATCAATCAACCAATCAATCAATTAATCAATCAATCAATTAATCAATCAGAAGTCATTCGATCTATCAATCAAACAACAACCAACCAACCAAAAGTTATCTAACAAACAAGCAAACTAATTAGGAATAAACTTTCATAAAATGCTGATTACTTCAAGCCCACTGTGATGAATTCCGCTCACTACAAAACCCACTGTGTATTATAATACCTGTGATTCATCCCCATTCCTTTGTCTTTCTTCAATAGCAGACTTACATACGCTCAGAATATTTTTTCTAGATTACAATTATTGCTATATTTTTTATTTAGAGACATTTAGAGACATTTATAGACATGTATAGCCATTTATAGACATTTATAAACATTTTTAGACATTTATAGACAGTTGGAGACATTTGGAGACATTTAAAAACATTAAAAGACATTTAGAGACATTTGGCGACATTTGGCAACAGTTAAAGACGTTCTGAGAAGTTTACAGACTTTAAGAGAGAGATATAGACACATCAGAGAAATTCATTGACAATTTCAAACATTTATGGACATTTTGAAACAGTTAAAGATGTAATTAGGGATTTCATTCCATTAAATTAATTTCAAACCTGAATTCCATAACCTCCGAGTTCTTGTTCATTTCATCGTCCAGCTCGTGAATAGGGATTCCTGTACAATCAAAAATTAAAGAATGTTTTCCAGGCCTTTATCCATAGTTATTCACGAAGTGAATCTTGATCATCTTATTTTTGCCCCGTGTAATCACTGAAGTTTCATAACATTTTCTCAATTTCTCTCTACTTTTTGCCCATTTTTCTACATTTCACAACGGTGTTTCAACAATTTTCCTGTTTTAGAAACTATTTTCATTTTCAGAATGTTTCATTACGTTTCCTGCTTTGGTTTGCAAATGTTCCCAAGACTTTAAGTTTATAACGCTTACGTACCTAGAGCGACCCCAATATCATATTTAAGCATTTTTTCCTCCTTGTTTCCTGCCGGCTCAACAATCTAAAATAAAACAATTCCTATAACAAAATCAGGTGTCATGTGTAGAGTTAACAGAGACGGAGAAACAAGAATGTAACATTATTAAAAGAAGAATGAAAATTCAAGTTTTACAAAATCGTCTGCGCACCTTGTCCAAATCTACCTCAAACCCATACATATTAACACTTGAAAAGTGACTATAAGATGTGGAACAACTAGACTCTTTTCCACATAAAATATGAGGGATTTACACCATGAAGTAAAACAAAGGTTGGTCGCCATTGGGACGGTTGAAAAAAAAATATTACATGAATGTCACCTTAAGAACGGACTGAAATTATAGGGATTTATACCATGACATTTTTAAGCAAAGTCACCTTTCACCTTAAGAACGGGCTGGAACAGACGAAGATCACAAAGACGTCTTGTCTCGTCATAATACTCCTCTCTTTCAGCATCCTAGGATAGATATAATGGATTACAAAATCCAGAACACCCAAACCAGGCAATATAACTATGGCCTCGTAGTTTACATAAATTGTATTGTGAGTTCTCACTCAGTGCAACAAATAGTTTTATTTTATCTGACAAGTTTTGATTTAGATTGAAACAAAATTTATTTTAAAGGAATTAAATGGGAACAAGAATTTTGCTCGAAGGTGAATAAATTAAAATTTTTGTTCTCTGATTATGATAATTGATATGGACGGAAAAGTAAAAGTAAATAATTATCCCCCCCCCCCAAACGTAACGGGAAGGGAATGATTTTTAAAGATCTGGAGGAAAATATACAACCTGAAATAAATACAAAGATAAACGTTCAAATGAATACCTGAGTAATTGAAACAAAAATATAAGCTGAAGGTTCTTGAAGTTTATGATACAATGGATACTGTTCCGCTACACCCCATAGTTCCTTCTTTATATTCTCCAGGGATGTATCCCGCAAACATCTGCAAACAAAATCAAATTATAATACAAGCTGAAGAGCCAGGCGTTTTTTAGGCTATGTTACTTCCACCCATTGGTTCTCTTAAAAAAGTTAGCCAATATTTACAAACAAGCCAAATTTATATATAGATATATATAAGCGAAGAGTTTTATTGTATAGAATTATCGGCCAGATTTACGTTTCCAAATTGAATTTCACTGAGGAACTTTGAATTTATTAATTTTTGGATAAAAAAGTTTAAATATTTCGGACTAAAATTCAGACCAGAAAAAATATTTAAGAATCATATGACGCAACCTACTCTTACATTAATGAAACAGTTAATGTTAATTCCCTTATTTTCCATTTGTATATGAAGTGACATGTCCGATTCACATCGGTGCGATTTAAACCTTTGGCGGGTCAAGTGTTACGTGTATTTTCTTATTTTCGTGACTGAAAATTTATTGCCTGGAAACCGCGAGTGTACACTTACAAATAGTATTCCGGAACTTTTCTTTGATAATTATAATATCTACTATCTACGTCACGGAAAGGAAAACGTTGTACGTCACGGGTTGTTTAAAATTACGTTTACAGTCCCTTTGTGTAGAAGGGTTGCATAAATTTTATAAACACGTTCATCAAAATCTTGTAAAAAAAGGTTTCTATTACCTGAGTGGAACAATAACCCCGTTAGGAAGAAGACAGTCAACATAAACACTCTCCGGCATAAGATGGTGCCCCCATAGTTCCCCAGACGACGGAGCCATTCTACAACAAATATTAAAATAAAAAATATAAAATAATATTAAAAAAAATAACAAATAAAAAATCCCTCCAAAGATGAGAGAACAGAGAGGAAGAAGAAGACGACATTGTGGGTGTGTAAAAAACAAAAAGTATTTATCAGTGAAGCGATCTGAAAGTCAACCCCCCCCCCTTTCTTTATTCCAAAAACCAAACAGAAGTAAAATACGAGAAATTACTAGGTCTCATAAGTTTCATGTACAACAATATTTCAAATTGCATTTGTATATTTTTGCGAATTATTTTTCTCGTTTTTATATGCTACAATTAGTACAAATATTCAGTCAAATAAGATCTGTATTATAGCTGTAATGTACAAATAAAGTTTACATTGTATACAAAACTACAAGGATCATACACTGCAGGTAAGGTTAGTGAATGGTCAAATTGATAAATTTTAACAAAAAATGTCGACATTCTTTGTTTTCAAAAATACACCAAATAAAAAAGAAGAATCTGGGAAAGATATTATTTCTTGGATAACAATGAAAGAATCATCAGTGCCCTGAAATTGTTACTAGAAAGAGCACCATGGATGCCAAGTAAATTGAAAAATGAAGAAGGTTTTCTAGACAACTAACAAGGAAGATGTTTCCTATAAAACTAGATCAACGAAACAAGATAATTTAAACTGTATTTATTATTAAATACAGCTACTCAGCACATTCCTTTACATTTCTTGTTAATCAATCGGAATTCAGTCTATGTCATTTTTACACACATTGCAGTACAATAAAAAAATATATTTTCAATAACACTTTTGTGGCATTTCAACTATCATCGTCTATGCCATTTTTACACACATTGCAGTACAATAAAAAAAATCTTTAATAACACTATTATGGCACTTCAACTATCATCAGTCTATGTCATTTTTACACACATTGCAGTACGATAAAAAAGTATATTTTTAATAACACTATTGTGGCACTTCAACTATCATCAGTCTATGTCATTTTTACACAGATTGCAGTACGATAAAAAGATATTTTCAATAACACTTTTGTGGCACTTTAACTATCATCAGTCTATGTCATTTTTACACATATTGCAGTACGATAAAAAAGATATTTTCAACAACACTTTTGTGGCACTTCACTTTACAAGTTTCATTATCGATTCACAATCAATCTGAGATAATAATAAGAGAATACTGAGTCACATGAATTAACATGCTGACATAGTTACGATTCATTTAAAGGGACTGTACGCGTAATATCAAGTGAACCTCTATGCACATATGGCAATGACCGTTTCACAAAAGTACCCCTAACAGCTTTGTCTGATCAAGTATGAATTAGATTTCAATGTTTAGAATTTTAAAAACTATTTTTTTTAATTGAGGTTCCTCTTCAAAGAGACATGCGCATTTCTACAGCGGGAAAGCATATATTTAGAAATTATCAGAATTTAACCATTTAAAACCTAAACAAACGTCAAAATCTTCCAAATTAATGTTCAGATAAAGCTTAAGGGTTCAAAAGTACCGTTGTGAATCGAACATTTCAATCTTTGGGGGTCAATTAAAATTACGTGAACAATACCTTTAATATCAACACAGATTTAAGTAAACACAAGTACCTGCACACTTCACTAACAGTAGAAATACTTACTTTTTGAAAGGTATAAGGTAACCTTCTCTTAATAAAGTTAAAACCACATTTTACTTAACTTCAACTTCTGAAAAATTATCAGTATACAAAAAAATCAGCATTTATCAGCGGCCATCACAAAGTTTAAATCAACGTTCAACACGTTGTATTGAGCCAAAAAATTAAACAATTAATGGAAAAATTTAAATAAGTATTATAAATTCTACAGTGATAACCAGAATGCAAATTTTTAGCTTTTTTAACTTTAGCCCAATGAGCATGAGACACAGAAATTGTGCAGTATAAACAGACGCATTTAACTAAATTACTGATTAATTAAGTGTCTAATAAAACTATTTGCAGTATTGCTATAATGTTTTATTCCTAATCCATTGTTTTCTGGTTATCACTTTAATGTGAAAAACATGCAATTATAATAAATAATTATTTCTACAATATGTAATTAATATTAATTTAATAATTGTGATTAATTGCTACTAGCTGCTACTAGTTTCAAGTGTAGTAATAATTCCAGCTTGTTCCTCAGTAAATGTCGCTCCAACCACTTTTGTCATCTGCAAAAGGTTTTATTAAGTTAAAGTAAACAACCTTTGTAAAAACAGAAATACACTTTCTTCAAAATTGTAAACGTAACTTTAGACAGCACATTAATAAAAGTATTATAATCGTTATGATTAATAATCTCACACAATTTTTTGCAGAAATTCCCGAAATTTTGATTTTAGTTAGCAAACCTCAAACAGAATCACTTAGAATTTGGATGCGGATCCAGATCCTGAATCCGTCCTGAAAAATGAATCCTGGTTTAGATTCTGATCCTTCATGTAAAAAAAATACTGATTTATTTTAATGAGACACAAAATTCTGAACCCATATATTTTTTTCATTTCCTTTCTTAGCTGAAACTTAACTGACCATTCAGATATCAACTGGGGTTATCTTTTCTCTTTTTAGTTTTTTTGTAAATTAATTGTTGCTGATCCAGCAGATATGGATCATAAGGAATCATAAGGAAATGAAATCTGAAAAAGAAGCCCCGCTATGGACCCCCCAGACCGCCTCCAGGCGCATGCAGCACTGTCCCGCCTCTGCTCTAACTGGACCTTTACACCCAAAACAGTTACTCCATAAGCGCTCAGGAATATTAATTTGAAAAATTATTTTCCCTTGGCAAGGGGGGGAGGGGCTGAAAGATTCCGAAGATTTGAGGAGGTGGAAAAGAAAAATTGTTTACCGGCTGGTAAGCCCCCCCCCCCCTGGATACTTCTTAATTTTAAGCATTCATTTTTTATAATTCCTAAATCCCTAAATCCCTAGTTATCCTAGATTCAGGAAACATTTATTGCATATTGGACAAAAATATCATTTTAATGATATTTTTCAAGAAAATATATACCCTGCAATCACTGCCTAAAGTTACACTATGTTAATTAATATTTAAACCTCTAAATAGTTCTGAGCACATCTCATTATACATCTATCCTCTCGTCCTAAAACCTGAAATAAATGTTTATGTTATTTTTACTGTAAAAGTATTTTAAGCAGTGCTTAGAATCCGGATCCATTGAATCCGCTACATTTTGGATCCACGGATCCAGTTCGGGGGCAAAATATCGACGAAAAACACTGGAGGAAAAAAAACTTTACACTCTCAAATCCCAAATCTGAACTGATGAAAATAGAGCGATTATTACAATTTTTTACCTTTATATGGTTCATAGTCTAAGCATAAAAATAAGCGAAAAAAAAAGAAAATAATTTGAAACTTCTTATTTTGTAAAAGAAATCTCCAGTATCCGGATCCGCTTCAAAATTAAACAGATCCGAAGCATTGATTTAAGGAATGTGAATTCAGTGAACCTTGGAATTGACAGAGACCGGCAGGCAACGGCTTAAAGGGACTGTTTTTGCAATTATCAGTGAATTTCTGAAATAACTTCTATGGAGAAACCACAATGAAAATTATCAGCGTTCAAAAATACAAAAATGGATATCTAATTCATGCTTTTAAGCTTTTACGGTTACCGCCGTGGATCACACATTCCACTTTACAAATAGAAACTCACATGAAACTACTCTTACAGTCCTTTTATGAGACTGATTATCAATTAATCAATCAATCAGAGGTTTAGGTATGTCCTACTTTTCACAAATTATTTTATATTTCAATTATTACGTAGAATAGGTGTGAAGGGATCATTTCTTACTTAGGGATGCATAGTTAAGAAACAAAAACAAAAGATTGGATTCCAATTTCTTGGTATGTATTCATGTACAATGTTCGACTGAATAAAAGAAAAAATGATGAGTTTAAGTTCAAGGATTACCTGATCTGAACCAAAATCCCAAACACATCTTCATGAGAAATATTTTATTAAAACAAACAAAAATTAATTTTAATTATCATTTGTTCAGACTGCTCAATTCTCATTCTTCAATTCAATATTTAAAAATCATTTGGATATTATTTAATTTATGGTGATTACCCAGATTTTTGCCCCCCTCCCCCCTGCACAGTGCAGCGTCCGGCTCCCTAGCATATCTTAGCCGCAACGGTCGACCCCTTCCCCCTTGCCAGTCCTAGTGGCAGCGCTCGGCTCCCTTAGCCTATCCTAGCCGCAGCGCTAGGCCCCAAAAACTGGCTGAACTTAACCTAACCAATAATTGATAAAAAATACATAATAAACGCGTTAAAAATAGGATCAAGTATAGTTCTACTTGGAGTTGGCTGTGAAGGTCCAAAAATCGGTATACCCTAAGTTTTTGTTAACTTAAGAATTTGAATAAAACTAAGCAGTGTAAAATGTCTACACTTTGCTGAGAAGAAAAATATTATCATTGAAGAAGAAAAAACTTAAGAGGAAAAGATGTTTTAATGTTGTTGAATATTCTCCCTGTCGAAGCAGATCTCTGACATTGTATTGTAGATTTTAGAAAACTCTTTAAATGTGTCGTAATCACTCTCAGACGTCTTGTTCACTTTCTAAATATAAATAGGTTAAAATCAAAAATTTTAGATCTGAGCATTTGATGTCTATATGTCTATATGTTTTTATGTCTATATGTTTATGTTTAGATTATTTTCATGAAGAAAATTTCAGACGGTTTTCTTTTGAAATTCATAAGGGTGCAAATACCACATTAATATGCAGAAAATATTATTATCTATATAATAAAACAAGGCATTCATATATATGTTGCCTATAGCCGGCAAAACAACTGGAACGATTTGGCTGAAATTTTTTTTTTTTTTTTTCCACGGGCAGATTCAGGCCCTTCAGCTAGTATTCGATATTTACGAATTTCGATGCATTTTGGTCGAGTATATTGTTTTCTTTCAGTATATTTTCTTTGCTTTTTATTTTTCGACATATTCTTTTTTGTTTAATTTGGCCTATCTGTTTACTTTTTATGCAATCTTTTTTTGGCTCTTTTTGTCCCAACAATAGAAACTAGAACATTTTTTAGAATTTTTTTACATACTTCTCATATCTAGATATTATAAATGATAATTTCCCTGAGAGCGGTTTTAGCATTCCCCTCCTATCAATTTTGTACATAACTTTTTATCGATTTTAAGTAGTTTTAAGGCACACATGGATAAAGCTTGACATGTGGCCGCAGCGCTCGACCCCCTAGCCTATCCTAGCCGCAGCGCTAGGCCCAGAAACTGTCCTAACCTAACACTGAAATAATGCAAAATATATATTTTTGTTGAAAATAGTTGAAATCAAGGTCATGTAAAAAATTGACAGGAGGGGGAAATGGGGCCGAGGTTCAAAAAATGTTCTCTAGGACAGAACCCGGGTCCATCCTAGTGAACGACTTTTGGACCCCCCCCCCCCCCCCCCCCCCCCCCCCCCCCCCCCCCCCCCTACTTTTTAAAAAAAATT